ATGATCATACCAATTTTCAAAAGCGGTGATAATAAAAATGTATCGAACTATCGACCCATCTCATTAATATCCAATTTGGCAAAAATTTTTGAGAAAATATTAAAAATTAGACTAACTGGTTACATGGAAAGACATAATCTCTTATCAGATATGCAATTCGGATTCAGAGTGGGCAAATCTACCCAAGATGCTATTTCTTTATTGACAGGGGAAATCTATGCAAACGTTAGTAAAAAAAATCCGACGCTTTGTGTTTTTCTTGATTTGGCAAAAGCGTTCGACACAGTTAGTCATCCTCAGTTGTTGGAAACTTTGCATGATTTAGGGGTAAGAGGCATAGCATATGATTTATTTGAAAGTTACCTGAAGGACCGTAGGCAGTGTGTTAAAATCAAAAGAGAAAAAAGCTCTGAAGGAATAGTTGAGTACGGAGTTCCACAGGGAACAGTCTTGGGTCCAGTTCTTTTCTCTATATATATTAATAACCTATTCACTATAAACTCCTGCGGTAAAATAATTAGTTTTGCTGATGACACAGCCATTTTATACCATGGTGAGAACTGGATAGAACTCAAACAGAATGTGGAGAACGACCTCAAAGAAATAATCACCTGGTTCGATCACAAATTGCTGACGGTGAACTACAAAAAAACTATATTTATATCGTTTGCGGGCAACAGTAGTGGGTTACCAAACTTCAATAATTTAGTCATAAAAAATGATACAGGTGAACCCAGCGAGATAATGCGTGTTGAGAAATCAAAATATCTAGGTATTACCATAGATCAATGTCTGAGGTGGGACGCTCATGTCAACTCTGTTACCCGTACGTTGAGAAGTATCCTATTTAAATTTAAATATTTTCAAACAATTGTCAACTTAGCGCAAATGCGAATCATTTATAGTGCACTTGTAGAATCTAGGTTGAGATATGGTATACTTGGGTGGGGTGGAGTTGCAAAAACGCATCTTAAAAAAATGGAATCATTACAAAAAAAATTCTTGAAAATAATGTACCGAAGGAACTCAACTTACCCTACAGATTCACTATTCATAGAAACCCAACTACTAGACATTAGGCAGCTATATTTCATGGACGTTGTGTCATTTCAATTCAGAGAAAAAAACATGTACTTTGTAGATCACCGATACTCCACCAGATTTAAAAGTAATGCTTGTTTCTGCAATCCTACCACAGCATATAAAACAAAAAAACATTGTAATGATATATATATTTTTCAGAAATAAACATTATTATTATTATTATTATTATTAATTTGAGAACAAATCTGGCTGAAAGAACCCTGGGACAAAGATGTCATACTTACCTGGCAGCAAGATTATTCAATACCCTGCCAACTGATATTAAATATGGGATCAATAATCTAAAATTGTTCAGAACAAAAGTGAAGAGATATTTGCTTAATATAAATAGAATAATAATTCATCACTTGATTAATCCGAACAATGAGTAAACAAAATTAATATTATTTCCATCATAAGAATGTGTTGATATATGAGCATGGTTAATGGAAAATGCGAAGATGAGTCTATTGTGTTCATTAATATTTCCCCATTGTATTTATTTTATTATTCGTTTTTTGTTTATTTTGATTTGTAATTAATTATCTTTATTTATTTTCAATTTGGTCATCATATTGTAGCTAGTAGATGAATATTTACATAAGATTACCTATATAAAAATATACATATACTTATATATATATATATATACATACTATACCTATAACTAGATTTATTGAGATCATAGCTTATGAAAGATTGAATAAATATAACCCCCACGCGCAATCAATGATTTTTGTGGGTAGCTTTGTTTATTTACATCAACTCAGTGTAGAATCTTTGAATTTTGTATTTTTTTGAACCTGATCTTGTGAATAAACTTTATTATTATTATTATTATTATTATTATTCTTGCCTACTTATTTCTATAGTGGCCGTCGGTAAATAAATTTACCAGATCCTTTCTTGTGGGATCAAGAAAGGCTGAAATGTTTCTGAATGTCATTATTTGTAAACTCCAACGATAACATCAGAATTAGTAATTTAGTTACAAGGGGGCGATTAATGACAGAGATATTTCAATTTGATGTGATCGTTTTCATGCTTTTCAGAGATAAAAACATTTCTCAATGAGCTTATGAGACATCAGACCCAATTTTTATTTCGTCTCAAAGACATTAGTTCGCTCTTCGGAGAACATCATTCTTTTTATTTCTTTTTTTTTTCTAATTCAGGCAATAATTGGTCAATAAATGGTTAACGAAGCAGTTGTTTGATAGCTTCCATTAAAATAATTTGAAGTTCGGACCAAACCAGTTTCTTCTTTCATTATTTCCTAATAATTATTGTTAGTCGTTTTAATCAACGAAGAAAGTGCAATAGAAGAGTAGATGCATGTTTGACCCTTCCATTATTATTATACTGTATTGAATTAATGATGTCCTTCAAATTACCTCATCGTCATAAACATATGAACTCTCGAACATAGGTATGTAATTTATCTCATCATTAAAATTAAATATTTCATCTGAATAAGATCTGACCGTATCTGACTATTGTATTTGATTTAACGGCAATAATTCTGCCTGAAGGCAGGATACTGAACAAGTTATTATGCTGATGCCATCAAATTAATTGAAGTAGGTATGGATAGCACTTGAGTGATGAATATGTTTTTTCAACTAATTATCTATACAGTGTGTTTCACTTCAATTGGCGACAATTCATTATAACGGGTCGGCTAATTTTGGTACCTTGTTTTTTAAACATAGTATGTACTCCAAATGCTTTACATCCTGGTATACGTCATTTCAAGATTTGCCTTTTCCACATAGCTTACTACCATAATAAATAGAACCCCAGAAGTGACGAAGGAATACTTAGAATTTTATAACAAGATAAGCAAACACCTCCTTCGACATAGGAACATCTGGGACAAATATTTAGATTGGCAATGAAATAATTACGGATGATATACGAAGGTGCCCTGAAAAGTGAGAAACAGTCTATACCACCCTGTAACTTTTTCTAGGGAATAATAATCTGCAATAGGTAATGAGGACTTGAGCGAATAGTATATTATACCATTAAACAGGTTGTTTATCGAATCGTTACCTATTAAGAAATAATGACACTTGGCAACATTGCAGTCACGAAGAGATGCGCGGTGAGCAACGCTCGTCGTTAGACACTTGGCCGCAACTTGCGTCTGCGGACTCTGCGTCATAAAATGGAATAGTGGTGGGGACTTCGCGTAATCGCGTGTCAGTCATATCAATGTTGCCGGATTGTGCTGATTTTCTTCAACTTGAAGAAGAAAGTACTTCAATGATCTTGAACTGATAGGATAACCAAAAAAAGGAAATAGCATTTTCAGGAATTCGCATGGAAGTTTTAACAGACTATTCTTTAAAACAACACAATCTAACTCGGCCAAAAGAAACTTTTACTCTAGAACATAACTTTGACAAAACTTTTCTCAAACAGTAAATGCCTCCACAGTACTGTTTTCAGGGAGGAAGGAAATCCATAATAAAAAATATAGGGCCGTATTCAAAAACGAAGTTGATGATGACAGCTCAAAGAGGTAACGTCGGTTTGAAAATCTGGATATGACACTATCTTGTAGAACAGAAAAAGTAGGAATGAGAATGTGTAATTTGTTTCGTTAAATCTATTCAAATGGAGTCATAAAAAAGTGACAATGAAATCGCAAATATTTGGTTTTATCCAAAAATCTTTGGAAGTATTCGGAATTTTCCAATTTTCAAAACGGCATTTCATTAGGCGTGGAATTGCGCAGCTTTGCTTTAATGAAACCAACCCTGTATATCTTACGTTTTTCCCTTGTATAGTAAATAAATATACTCTCATAGGTGGGTGATAGCAATTTCTCTTCAAAAGCATTTGAAATTCATGTAGTTATAAAAGCATACCTATGATAGACGTTTGAAATTTATAAATAATAAATATAAGATTATGGTCATTTCCTACAATTAAAGATTTCTTAATGATGATCAGAGGCGGCGTACCTAAAGGAAAATAACTCCTAATACCATTAGTACCATATTTGTTGCTATCTGTTCACTCGTCTTATACAGGGTGATTCATTAATAATGAGAAATGTCTGAACAACAGATAGTGAAAACTGAAATATTAGGATTTAGCCTAATAGCATGATGCCTGATAAGAATGTTGCTGGTTCAGGATATATAGGGTATTCTAGAGGGAGATTTTATTTTTAAAATTGCTCAATAACTTCGTAAGTTTCAATAACATGAACATGAAATCTTGTAGTTTCACGTTTTCTGACATGAAGAATACGAATTTGCAACTTATTTTGTGATTGCTCAAAGTGGGCACTAGAGGCACAAAATAAGAAAAAAATCTGAAAGCTTGTTTAATTTTACATAAAAAATTTACTCTTCTTCAAATTGTGTAGCTCTAACAGTTTCAGCGTTATTCTTTCTTGAAGAGATTTATGTTAAACTTATATAACATTATTAAGTGAGCAAAGTGACAGTGAAAAAAAGACAGTTATCAATGATGACAATGACCTACAACGCCAACAACAAACATAATTTTAAAGTAAATGTTCTACCAAAGTTAAGGAACATTTTTAAACAAATTTTTTGTTGAACACGCTGTATCTGCAACATTTCCATGAAGCATATTAATTTAAATCTTCATATTTTGGTGTTCACTATCTGTCGCTCAGACATTTCTCATTCATAATTAATCACCCTTTAAATTTGTCAGATAATGAAAGAATAACGGAAAACCAGATGAATTATGATGGCACCTACTATTGGAATATGCTGTCATGTAAAGGTATATCTCTAATTCGACATAGCTGAGGAAAGGTGAAACCAAAATTTTTTCGGAATATTCAGATAACATTATATTCTTCAAATACTGAGATTGTGAGAAAGAGTTTATGAACTATAGTAGTTATTAGTAGATTATAGAGTACTTACTTTGATGTGCAGTTCCATTTTATACGGAGTTCACTGAACTAAGTTCTCGAACACATCTATTCACAATTTCTTCTCGAGTCACAGTCTTGAGTTCTCTCCCTGCAAATAAAACAAAAAAAAAAACATTGAAAATTCTCATCGACCTTAGCCATCGAAGAGTGCTAAATCGATTGAGGATTATCCTTTGAAAAAATACGTGAGTGCCACTGACCAATATAAGACAATGGCATCGAATTTAAATTCTTCTCAGGTTCTTATTACCCATCGGCCAGACAGGTGATTATGGTCTTAGATATTGACTTCAGGTGAAACCACGTGTCGGTGGTCCGAAATTGAATCAATTCTACCAGCAAATGGCATTGTTCCGAAGTGATTATTTTCTAGATAAGATATAATAATTTTTCCGATGAGGTGTCTCGTATTTACTAAAGGAGTTAAAGTCAATATCTATTATAACCGTTGACTAATTCAAGATGTAACTATGATGCAAAGTTCTGGGAATATACAGGGTGTTTCATTGGGAAACGTAAATAATTCAACTGTAGATAGGGGTCACTGAGGTGATTTCAAAAAATCCATGGTTGATGGGTCTTCGACTTCTTATAACCGAGATACAGGATGTTTCATCAATTTTGTCCATATCTTCATTGTCTCATAACTTTCCAACCAACCTGTATATATTTTTGAAAATTGATACACTTGCTCAATCTACCCTGTGGAATTTTTTTGAAAATATATACAGGTTGGTTGGAAGGTTATGACACAATGAAGATATGGACAAAATTGATGAAACATCCTGTATCTCGGTTATAAGAAGTCGAAGTCCCATTAACCATGGGTTTTTTTAAATCACCCTAGTGACCCCTATCCACAGTTGAATTATTTACCTTTCCCAATGAAACACCCTGTATAAAGGCGAGCATGACAAATTCCCTGTTTCTGAAAGCAATGGGGAAGTTTACTAAACTACTCAACACTAATTTCGTCGCACACCAAAATGTCGCCCCTGTTATAATGTGAATAACTTTTTTCAGTTCAGAACAATTTGAATTTGGTTCACACTGTTCGATAGCCCAGTCCTTCAGCTATGATCTGGTACTTCATTGAAACATGAGGGTATTCACATAAAATCTCTACATGGTGTTTTCCGACACTGTGCAAAATTTCGTAATATGCAAAAGGCTCTCAAATGGTGAAAAAATTTTTTTTTCAACTTCGACAACAGAGGCATGAAGATGATCCCATTATCTCGAGATATTTCGCGAATCAACTTCCTATCTCTCTTATTTACAGAGTGATCTCAAAAAATCAACTTTTTGGTTTTGCAGCCATAACTTTTTTCCACGTCAACCGATTTTGGAGATCTTAGGCTCATTTTGAGAATAAAACTTCAGATGAAGAGATCTGAATATCAGAATTGACTCAAGATGGCTATCAAAGATCTAGAGTTTTCTTGAAAGTGACCCAAATCTGGAACGCCCTCCGAATCTCGGTTGGGAGGAGAATTGAATGAAAATCAACTTGTTCTCGGAAAAACAATTCATTCTGGATGCGTCCATATTTTCCTCGCTCTCAGTACTCAAGAATGTGCATGAGAAAACACAATTGAAACATGTTCTTCCAAAAACATTAGACCATTTCTCCTCTGTAATGCATGGCCCGTAACCAACGTTACAAGAATCACAGTAAGTGACTGACAAGTCAGGTTAGACGTCGTTTTCGAATCATAAACAGATTTTGATAGTTCCGATGCCGCATCTAACGCCCGACCAGTTGGAACTGATTCCAGTCCACAAATGAGGGAACAAGGGTTATCTTCTCTCCAAATCGCGGATCTGCTAAACACGACAGTCCGATCAATTCAAAGGGCTTATCTCCGACACGAATTGTTTGGTTATTACTGTCGATTCGTTCGGCGCATTATTGCGACAATTGGCAAACTGTTTTCGTAAACCTTTCACTATTTTCGAAATGCGTTTTTACAATAAATAAACGTTGTTTGCTTGAATACTTTTCCATATTCTTAAATCGCATGTTATGTACGTGACAACTGTAAAAAAATCACTTTATTGAAAAAATCAAAATCCGTTGCTCTTGTGGGTACACCATTCATAATGAGCCTCAGCTGGTCGGGTTTGTCAGTCACTCATTGTGATTCTTGTAACGTTGGTTACGGCGGGTCATGCATTACAGAGGAGAAATTATCTAATGTTTCTGCAAGAACATGTTTCAATTGTGTTTTCTCACGCACAATTTTTGACTACTGAGAGCGAGGAAAATATGGACGCATCCAGAATGAATTGTTTTTTTCGAGAACAAGTTGATTTTCATTCAATTCTCCTCCCAACCGAGATTCGAAGAGCGTTCCAGATTTGGGTCACTTTCACGAAAATTCTAGATCTTTGATAGCCATCTTGAGTCAATTCTGATATCCCGATCTTTTCATCTGAAGTTTTATCTCCAAAATGAGCCTAAGATTTCCAAAATCGGTTGACGTGGAAAAAAGTTATGGCTGCAAAACCAAAAAGTTGATTTTTTGAGATCACTCTGTAAATAAGAGAGATAGGGAGTTGATTCGCGAAATATCCCGAGGTAATGAGATCATCTCCATGCCTCTGTTGTCGAAGTTGAGAAAAAAATGTTTTTCACCAATAGAGAGCCTTTTGAATATTGCGAAATTTCGCACAGTGTCGGAAAACACCATGTAGAGATTTTATGTGAATACCCTTATGTTTCAATGAAGTACGAGATTATAGCTAAAGGACTGGGCTATCGAACAGTGTGAACCAAATTCAAATTGTACTAAACTGAAAAAAGTTATTCACATTATAACAGGGGTGACATTTTGGTGTGCGACGAAATTAGTGTTGAGTAGTTTATATATTGAGATTTATCTCCCTACGTGAAGTTTATGGAAAATCATTATATAGGTACTAGCGGACCCGGCAAACGTTGTTTTGCCATAACATTATTTCTAGAAAAAATGTTTTTACATGAATATTTATCAAAGAACTTTCATTATTTTATTTATACTTCTTTTCAGTTCGGCTATCCATGAAAACCGGATTCTTTTGTTTTTCAAACTATTCTACTTATTCTCTACTTCTTTTTGGTTCGGCACTCTATATCTCTTCATTTTTTCATTTATTTAATACTCACTTCTTTCTCTATCTATTAAAATAGTTATTTATTATACAAGGGAAAAAATAGTAGATTTTAGCTCCAGGTTGTGTTGTCTCCCGACGCGTAGCGGAGGGAGACAAAAAACCGTGAGCTTAAATCTAATATTTTTCCCGTGTATAATACACTATTTTTTTCTGTGACAGAAGGAAGGACGAATCAATATTGAGAAGATATTACATTATTTCGAAATCTGAAAATTATCGACGTGAAATTTCAAGTTTTTAACAGTAGGGACACCTGCGTTTTATAGGCATCTTTATCATTCTTTTGAAGTAATCAAATATCTTCTGTCAGTTCAATTCTGTGATTTGATTTTAAAAAATTGCGAATTCAGTAGTAGTTGTTTAGTAATATACGAAACCGCGAAGTCGAATGGAAGATAAAAGGACTTGCAGTTCTTTCTCGGAGACGGTATTATTGACTCATTTTTCGGAACTATAGCACAATAAAAGCCATTAACAGAGTATATATATGTGACATATATCCGGGAAAAAAGTACTCACTTTTTTCCCACGGGAAAAAAGTAATTTATAAAAAGTGACATTTTATAACCTGCCAACAGAGATGAAATGCCAAACTTTTTTCCCGTCACAGAAAAAACGTGTTTCATTAGTTTTTCAAACTACTATTTATTACAATAGCTGATGCTGATACCTGACACATGTTGTTTTGCTATAGGTATACATTTCCTTCTAGAAAATATTTTTTAGTGAAATATTCATCGACACACTTTTATTATTTTGTTTTGAACTTCTTTCTAGTTTGGATATCCATGATATCGTGTTTCTTTAGTATATCAAACTACTAATTTTATTTTCTACTTCTTTTTAGTTCAACAATCTATCTCGTTTTTTAAACTAACTATCAATTTTCTACTTCTATTCAGTTTGGCCTCGAGTTTGGCTATCTATAAAAGCGTGTTTCATTATAGTTTTCCAAACTACTATTTTTATTACAAATCCCTTTCACCATATTGGATCCGCTATCTTGAATTTCCCAATTTCAAAGAATCACATCATAATCTCCGACCCCTAAAACCCCCAGATACAGATTTCGAATAGAATCGGATCATAATTACAAAACTCGTTCGCCATATTGGATCCTTTATCTTTAATTTACTAATTTTGATGAAAGAATCATAATTTCCGACCCGAAAATCACCCAGATACAAATTTTGAATGGTATCGGATTATAGTTACAAAACTCATCCGCCATATTGGATCCGCCATCTTGAATTTCCAACTTTTGACAAAATAATCATTATCTCCGACCCCGAAAACTACCCGATACCAATTCTGAATGAAATCTGACCATAATTACGAAACTCGTTCGCCATATTGGATCCGCCATTTTGAATTTCCAAATTTTGACGAACCATAATCTCCGACCCCGAAAACCCTCAGATACCAATTTTGAATATAATTGGATCATAATTACAAAACTCGTCCACCATTTTGAATTTCCTAATTTTGATAAAAAATCATAATCTCTGACCTCGAAAACCCCCAGATACCAATTTTGAATGAAATCTGACCATAATTACAAAACTCGTTCGCCATATTGGATCCGCCATCTTGAATTTACAAAATTTGACGAAAGAATCATAATCTCCGACCCCGAAAACCCCCAAATATCAATTTTTAATAAAATCAGATAATAATACTCGTCCGCCATATTGGATTCGATATCTTGAATTTTCAATTTAAAAAATAGATCAGGACCGATTCTCATACCTACCGAATTCGCACAAAAAATTTCATACGAATCGGTCGAGCCGTTACCACTGACACCGTGACCGGGACAGGAGAATTTTATATATTAGATTGAAAAGGAAGATTCTCAGATATATTAAAAAAATTGATACCTATGGAGAAATACATTGGAAATTGGCATTCTCTATCTGATAAAACTATTAATTCTTTCTTGGTATATTCAACAGAAAACAACTACTTTCCTTGTTATATACCACGACGAACATTTAAAAATTATATCTATAGAATATACACAATAAGAATTTGATAATACAATCTTTTGAAGTTGAGAATTTGCATTTTCTTTCAGATAAAAATATATCTGTATACAGAGAGGTGCACAGAAAACGGCTAGTGCTGCATCTTCTGAATCATTCGAGA